ATATCTCATTGGAAAAACAATTGAACTGGAAAATAGATCCAGAAGAGATCATTAAAAATTATTGGGCTATTTGAAAGCCATGATCAATAAAAGAGCATAGATATCATCTTTCAAGGAATTACCAAGGAAAATTGCCCTGATATTCTAAAACCAGAGGGTAAAATAGAAATTGAAAGAATTCACCAATCATTTCCCTTTCAGGATCTCTTTTGAGATCCCAAAATGAAAACTCTCATGAATATCCAGCTAAATTCCAGAGCTCCCAGGTCAAGAAGAAAATACTGTAAGCAACCAGAAAGAAATAATTCAAGTATTGTGGAGCCACACTCAGGATACCACAAGATTTAGCAACTTCTATATTAAAGGATAGGAGGGCTTGAAATATGATATTCCAGAGGGCAAAGGAGCTAGGATTACAACCAAGAATCACATACCCAACAAAACTGAGTATAATCCTTCAGAGGAAAAAATGGGAATTCAATGATATAGAGAATTTTCAAGCACTCTTGATGAAAAGACCAGAGCTGAATAGAAAATTTGACTTTCAAATACAAGACTCAAGAGAAGCATAAAAAGTTAAATAGGAAAGGGAAATCAAGGGAAATTAATAAGGTTAAACTGTTTACATTTCTATGCAAAGATGATACTTGTAACTCATAAGAACTTTCTCATTATCGGCCTGTGCTGAATTGATCTCCACTCTTACCCAGGTGCAACAGACCTTTCCTGCTGAACTTCTAAGTTGTCTTTGGCTGGAAAATTATTTCACCTCATCCTTTTGTGGGTTCTGCTGCTTCAGGAATTCTTTATGGCATTATTTAAAGGTATTCAGAGGGGTTTGAGGGAGAGCTCAGGCCAGTCACTGCCTTTTCTCCACCATCTTGATTCCATCTCCAAAAACTTATCCTTTTGAGTTCAAATTTGGCCTCAGACACTTACTAGCTGGGTGACCCTGTACAAGTTACTTAACCCTGTTTGCTTCAGTTTCTTCATCTGTAAACTAGACAAAAATGGAAACGGCAAGCCACTCCAGTATCTCGCTAAGAAAATCCCAGATAGGGTTATGAAAAGTCAAACATGACTGAAATGACTGAACAACAATGGCATATATGAGTTAAAGAGTATGTTCAGTTTAGTGAATTACTCAGCAGTAAATTACTCAAATTGCTTTCCAAATTGGCTATACCAATTTACTATTCCACCAACAGTCCAGTAGTGTATGTGTTTTCCCCAGCCCCTGCACCATTTGTCATGTTTATCTTTTATCATCTTTTTTTTTTTGGTTTTAGTCAATGGGGTTAATTGACTTGCCCAAGGTCACACAGCTAGTAAGTGTTATGTGTCTGAGGCTGAATTTGAACTCAGGTCCTCCTGACTCCAGGGCCGGTGCTCTATCCACTGTGCCACCTCACTGCCCCTCTATCATCTTTACTGATGGATAAAAACCTCAAATTTGATTTAATTTTCATTTTTCTGATTATTAGTGATTTACAGCACTCCCCCCATATTATTGTTGAGAGTTGGAATTTCTTCCTTTAAAAACTGTCTGTTCCTATCCTTTGACCATTTATTTATTGGGGAATGCCTCTTAGTCTTACGAATTTAAATCACCTAAGAATACACCTTGGAAAGGAGACCTTTATCAGAAGAATTTGTTGCAAAGTTTTCCCAGTTATATTTCCTTTCGAAGTTTTACTCCCTTCGATTTGTGTCAAACCTTATTAATTTTATATTATCAAAATTATTAGGAGTTAGAAGGAGTATATATAGACAGAAGGCATAGGTGTGAGGTGAATACGAATGGATGATATCTAAAAAAAATAAAATTAAGGGGTGAGAAAGCAATGCACTGGGAGAAAGGGAAAGGGAAAAGTAGAATAGGGGCAAATTATCTCACATAAAAGAGGCAAAAAGCTTTTACAGTGAAGAGGAAGACGGGGGAGGTAAGAGGGAGTGAGTGAACCTTACTCTCATCTGAATTGGCTCAAGGAGGGAATAACATACACACTCATTTGAGGATAGAAATCTATCTTACTCTACAGGAAAGGAGGAGGGTAAGGAGAAAAGAGGAGGCGGGTGATAAAAGGGAGATCAGATTGGGGGAGGCAGTAGTCAGAAGCAAAACACTTTTGAGGAGAGACAGGGTAAAAGGAAGTAGAGAATAGAATAAATGGGGGGGAATAAGATGGAAGGAAATACATTTAGAAATAACTATGAAAAAATTTTTGAAGCAAATTTCTCTGATAAAGACCTCATTTCTCAAATATATAGAAAACGGAGTCAAATTTATAAAAAGAGCCATTCCCCAATTGGTAAATGATCAAGAGATATGAACATTTATCTACAGCCATATGAAAAGGTGCTCTAAATCACTATTGATTGGAGGAATGCAAATTGAAACAATTCTGGGGTACCATCTCATAACTATTAGATTAGCTAATAGGACAGAAAAGGAGAAAGACAAATGTTGGAGGGGATGTTGGAAAAATGAAACATTAATACATTACTGGTAGAATTGTGAACTGATTCAACCACTCTTCAGGGCAATTTGGAACAATGCCCAAAAGACTATAAAACCATGCATACCTTTTGACCCAGCAGTGCCACTACTAAGTCTGTATCCAAAAAGAGATAAAAAACAAAAGGGAAAAAGACATATACGTGAAGAAATATTTATATCAGCAACTCTTTTCTGGTGGCAAGGAGTTGGAAATTGGGAGGATATCCATCAATTGGGGAATGGTTGAACAAATTGGCTACATGGTCGTGATGGAATACTATCATGCTATAGGAAATGATGAGCAGGATGCTCTCAGAAAAACCTAGAAAGACTTACATGAGCTGATGCAAAATACTGTGTACAAGTAACAGCAATATTGTAAGATGATCAGCTATGAATGACTTAGCTATTCTCAGCAATACAATGATCCAAGACTACTCTGAAGGACCAGAGAAAGAACTGATGGTGTCTGAATACAGATTGAAGCATACTTTTTTTACTTTCTTTATTCTTCTTGAGCTTTTTTTTTTTTGGTCGACATTTTCTTTCACAACATGACTAATATAGAAATATATTTTGCATGACTATATCAAATTGCTTGCTTTCTCAATGAGGGTGTGAGGAGGGAGGAAGAATTTTGAACTCAAAGTTTCAAAAAAAATGTTAAAAATTGTTTTTGCACGTAATTGGAGAAAATACTCAATACATTTTTAAGAAAAAAAGAAAAGAAAAGGAAAAGAAAGATAAGTCTTATTGACTCTAGGCCTGGCACTCTATCCCCTGTGCCACCTAGCTTCCCCAAGTATGCTGTTACTAGACTTAGACTCCAGTGAAATCTAGGAAAGAGGAGGAAAAAATCTATACAAAAATAGTTATAGCATGTGGTATAGTCACACGCTTTATATGGTAGCCAAAACTCAGAAATTAAAAAAGATGGCTCTCTATTGTGGAATGTCAAAATTAATTGTGATAAATACATATAATGGAATATTTATTTACTATAAGAAATGATCATTTCAGTTAAACCTGTGAAGACCTTTATGTCCTGATACAGTGTAAAGGAAGCAGAGCTAGGAGAACAATTTATAAAATGATAATAACATGATAGGGAAAAACAACTTTAAAAGACATTAGAACTCTGATTAGTATAGTGATAAACCATGAGACCAAAAGACTAAAGTTGAAACATATCCCTCAGTTCTCAACAAAGAAGTGGCGCGCCTAAAATGACAAAAAATATACATTTTGGGACATGGCTAATGGGGGAATTTGTTTTGCTGAATTAGGTAGACATATAAATATATGTTAAGGGTTTTTTTTTTAATTGGCTAAATTGTAGGGGAGAGAAGTTGGAGGGAAAGATTAAATAAGATTTTGGACTATCTTCAGATTGTCTGGAGCCAGAAGAATTGAAATGTAATCAAATTTTAGGTGATTTAATGTTCTATGATAATGTTGTCTGAGAAGAGACAGTTGCCTAGATATGAAAAATTTTAACAAATCACTTGGCCTCTTAGGACCTCAGTTTCTTCATCTGTAAAATGAAGGTGTTGGACTAGATTATCTCTAAAGTCTTTGCTTTATCAAAATCCTATGAACTCTCAATCCAGAGAGTAACTGTGGGATGGGGAAGGCAGTGAGCCCAAATAAATATCCTTGCTTTTCAGCAACAGGCATTTTTTTCTGTTTCTATTTTTTAAATAGTATTTTATTTTTTTCCAATTATATCTAAAGATAGTTTCCAACATTCATTTTTTATAAGATTTTGAGTTTCAAATTTTTTCCCTCCCTCTCTCTTACTCCCCTCCTCAAGATGGCAAGCAATCTGATATAGGTTATACATGTGCAATCATGTAAACATATTTCCATATTAGTCATGTTGTGAAAGAAGAAACAGAACAAAAGAGAAAAGCCACAAAACCCCCCAAAACCTGAAAAAGTGAAAATGGTATGCGATCTGCATTCAGACTCCACACTTCTTTCTCTGGATGTGGATAGCATTTTCTATCATGAGTCTTTCAGAATTATCTTGGATCATTGTATTGCTGAGAAGAACTAAGTCAATCACAGTTGATTATCACACAATGTCACTGTTATTGCCTCAGAGACTTACTAGTGTGACTCTGGTCAAGTCACTTAAACTCTCTGTGTCACAAATTCCTCATCTGTAAAATGGGGGAGTTGGACATTGATAGATCTTAATGTCCCACGGGGGCAGCTAGGTGGCGCAGTGGGTAGAGTGCCAGGCCTGGAGTCAGATAGACTCATCTTCCTGAGTTCAGACACGTACTAGATGTGTGACTGTTTGCCTCAATTTCCTCATCTATAAAATGAGCTGCTTAAGGAAATGGCAAACCACTCCAATATCTTTGCCAAGAAAATCCCAAATGGGGTCAAAAGAATCAGACACAACCGGAAAAAAAATGACTGAATGTCCTTTAAGTACATATAGTAGACACTTAATAAATGCTTGTTAACTTGACTTCCATTTCCATTTCTTAATCTCAGATCTGACGAATTTGGCTGGAAGCTAGATTGCAAGATAAGGGAGGAATGTGAAATAAGGCTGGAGAGATAGGTTGGAGCCAGTTTGTGGAGGGTCTTTTTGTTTCATCCTAGAGGAAACAGAGATGAGTTCATCTACCAAGTCAGACTTCAAGTGACTGTGGGGAAAGCAGTTTGAATCTGCTGTTGAGGGATGTATCTGGGCCTAGACAAACAAAACAAAACAAACCAAACTTTCTTTTTAGCTCAAGGAGACTAAAAGCAATTGCTCAAGAACGAAGTGGAATTGGAATTAAGCATTCTATCCAGCACTATTACCATCACTTTGGTATAGACTTTCATTTCTACCCATCAAGAATACTGTGATAACAGGTCTTGACACCTTCTATTCAATGCTCTTCTTCCCACCCCTCTCCTTTTCTCTTCACCCATCTCCCAACCATTCTCCCCAAACTTCTTATTGCAGCCAAACTAATCATTCTTATCCATAGTTTTGGTCATATTACTTATCCATTTAAGAACTTTTAGTGGCTCCATATTGCTCACCAAATAAAGTCCCAACTTTCATTCCTGGCATTTAAGGACCTTCACAGTCTGGCATGAATTTACCTTTTCAATCTTATCCCCACTTACACTACTCTCTTCCCTGAACACCACCTGCACTTTCCTGTCTCTCTCTTTAGGCTCACACTATTCCCTATGCCTGGGATGCTTTCTCTTCCCAGTTCAATTTCCATCCATGTTTCAGAGCCCAACTTCTATGCTGCCTCCTACACTGAGGCCTTTTCTTCCCCTTCCAGTTAGTCAGGAGCTTCTGAACTCCCATAACATATTATTGGTAACTCTCTAATTCACTTCATTCCCAGTCCTCCCAGTAACCAATGACACATACTTGTATTTTCTCACATGTTACAGTACAACAACGTCTTTTGTAATTGCTGATACCTTATCCCCCTGCTAGAGCTGTAACTAGTACTGAGTATAGAACTTTGCATAGATAGTCACTTAATAAATGAGGTAGTGTTGCCAGAATGCAAAAAGCACAGGATTTAGAGTTAGGGGACCTGGAGTCCCACCTGGGCTCTACCATTTACTACCTCTACGACCTTGGGTCAGTAATTTCTCTGAGTCTCCAGCTACTTTATCTGTAAAATGAGAAGGTTGGTTTAAATTAGGGCTTCTTAAACTTTTTCCACTTGCAACCCCTTCAGTGCTTCTTAAACTGTGGGTTATGACCAGATGACCTATATGATTTCCCTTTAGCTTAACATTTCTGATCTTAAGTGTTTGTTGCATTGAATCTAGCACAGGACAGTGACTGGGGGATATGGTTACAAGCAGAAAAATAGCCTGGATTTGTATTTGTGTGTGTGTGTGTGTGTGTGTGTGTGTGTGTGTGTGTGTGTGTGTGTGTGTGTGTATGTGTGTGTCCAGGCCACACAAACTGTTTCTGGGCCAAGGGGGATTGTGGGCTTAAGGAGTAAGGGGGAGCACACATAATCACTTGGTGAGAAGATAGAGATCCTGCAACACCAGTATAGGGCCATGGCTGGGTAGGTGGCCATACCAGGTGAGTTAGAGAACTGGCAAGCAAGTAAGGGCAAGTGTGGAGTTCAAACCAACTGGCAGTCTATTAGCTTCTAATTTTAACTAATTATTCTTGCTAACTAACAGCGAAGATCTGTTCTTTCTATGCTTAAAAACAGGAAGTACTGTCTAATATTATGCTCTTTAAACTTGACACCCTGAGGTAAAGCCCAAAGCACCCCACCCTAGTTACCACTCTGGTTTAAGAAGAGCTGGTTTACCTGTGGAATAAAATAGGAAGGGTTTTAAAGAGGATTAGTCATCCCTTAGGATGAGTCAAACTAATTGAGTGAGACTAAAGCTTACCTGTTCTGTACATGGTTCATGGCCCCAGATTCCCTTACACTGGAGGAAAAGAGTATTGTTTTGCACTTTTAAAATGGCTTACCCTGAGTGCTGTATCATAGCATAAACCATAAGGATGGAGAAAATGTAATCCTAGAGTATAGTCTTTCTATAAGAAACCCCCCTACTACATTCCTCTGGTAATGGTAGTAAAAGTGATCTCCTCTTTGGCATTCTGTTCTGGGGGCTGTATTTTACACACTAGTTTCATATTCTCTGTCTCACATGGTTGTTGTGTACTGGAAAGCACTATATACACATAGGGCTATTATTATTAGTAAGCATACTGACATTTTGAGGCGGCATGGCATAATGGATAGAGAACTGGCCTCAGGGAAATCTACGTGCAATACTGTCCCCGACACCTACTATCTGTGTGACCCTGGGCAAGTCACTTACCTTTGACTCTCAGTGGCCCAGGTAACTCCCTAAGACTACATGCATTGTAGTGGAGATACTAATCTGCATTGTAGAAGAGACTCTTCAACAGGAACTTCATAAATTAATGAAATCACAAGTTTCATTTAAACATGCAAATATAATAGATATATGTACTTATGTGTATTCTTGTTATTTGTTCAGTCATGTCCACCTCTTCATGACTCCATTTGGGATTTTCTTGGCAAAGACCTGGAATGGTTTGCCATTTCCTTCTCCAACTCATTTTACAGACATGGAAACCAAGGCAAACAAAGTTAAGTGACTTGTCCAGGGTCACACAGCTAGGTCAGATTTGTACTCAGGTCCTCCTGATTCCAGGGTCAGTGGTCTGTCTATTGTGCCATCTAGCTGCCCCTGAATATGTGTATATGTGTATATGCATATATATGCATGTATATATATATATATATATATATATATACATATATGTGTGTGTGTGTGTGTGTGTGTGTGTGTCTGTGTATGTGTGTGTGTGTGTGTGTGTGTGTGTGTGTAACTTGCTCAGGGTCACACAGACAGAGTATCTGTCAGAGGCAGGAGTTATACCTAGGCCTTCCAGATTTTCCCCAGGCCCATTCTTTAGATATTCTGGCAACCTCCAAAGGATGTAATTACAGAATAGTTGATCTGCCTTGGTAGAGGGAGTTTCCTTACCACACATTCCCTCTACTGATGAAATCACAGATCCACACCAAAAAAAATGTGTGTGATATTTATTTTCTTTAACATGCAAAGGCTTGTTAATGGTAACTTTATTATTATAGTCCTCAAAATAAAACATTGTAATAACTCCCCATGAAATTTAAACTCCTTGAGGGCAGGGGCTATTTTTGTCTTTCTTTGTATCCCTGGTGCTTAGCACAGTGCTTGGCACAGAGCTCTTAATAAATGCTTTTTGGCTGAAAAAAATAGTACTTAGTGAACATTTCCTATGTAACCAGAAATGCATATAAACAGGCTTTCCCATTCTGTAAGATGATTCCACAATCTCCCCACTATGAGTTGTTCATCTCCAGAGACTTTGCAGGTCATCTGACTATTCTGTTTCTCTGCTGCTCTTGCATAATTTTTATCCTTTATGCTCAGTTTGGAAAGGGAAGCCTTTGGCATATATTAAGACAGGCTTGGTTAGCAATCTATCAGACCAACTGCTGAAACCACCACTCACTTGAGTAAGGTGCTTGCAAAACTCAGAAAACCTGGCAGCCATTGAATTTGTGTTTTAGCCAACCAGATCCTGAAAAGTGGTACAACTTGTATGCATGCAAGGCCGCCATGCAGCTAAGCCAAGAAATGAGGTGTTCCCGCTTCTCACATTTGAAGGGAAACACCAATGATTAGATAGGTGGCCTTAGATAACTACATAAACACAAAGTTAGACTAAACTGGGCTCCCTTCCAGCTCATTGGCCCAGGTCTGATGATCCAGAATAGAATGGAGAGATCAGTTTTGCCATTGGAAAGTTTTGGGAAAGCAGTTTGAGCAGTGAATTCGCTAATTCAAGAGCTGGCATCACAACCCCTCTCCCTATTTGGCATGGGCTAGAAAAAGCAATAATTCAGGATCATAGAATCCAAAGCTAGAGAAAAAAGGCAACAAACCTTAGGAATCATGTAGCCAATGTCTCATTTTTCAGATGAAGCAACTGAGTCCCAGGACAGGAAGGTGGATTACCTAAGGGCAGGCAATAATTCACAGAGCTGAGATTCAAACTCAACTTCCTTGACTTCAAATCCAGAACTCTTTACACTGTGCATGATTCTAAATGTATAGCAGATGTAAATATAACAAACACAACAAAACAGCAAGGGATTGGAAGCTTATGGTGCTCTGGAAAAGCCTCTGCTTTCTGAAGCCAGCCATAGCCAAGGTGAACTCTTGACGTTCCCACCACGTCATTGTGCAAAGAAGATGGCAGCTTCCTTTAGATGGCTAATTGCTCGACATTATCTTTAAGCCAGCTACAAACATTGGTAATGGTTTGTGCTTTGCTGTAATTAGCTGTGGTGACTGGAGCGTCTTTTAGCATACTGTAACGTTTCCCTTTGAGAGCGCAAAGCTGCTGGCTGACATGCAGAGGCCTGAGGAAGTTGAAGCGGAAGCTGGCCCTGTGAAACAGAATCCTGCCCCACTCTGGAAGCTAAAAGATGGCTATAGCCTGCCAGCAGTCACACCCACAGCTTCCCCAGTGCGACCAGGAATGTCAAGTGGAAGCACTGAGAAACATGCCAAGGGCAGGCACGGACAATCTTGAAGAAAGAAGGTTTCCCTTCTGACAAAGTTAAGTTCCGTGATTGGCAGTGATAGAATGAGGTCAAGTTGATGTATCAAAATGTAATTATCTGCCTAATTCAACTTCCTTTTTAGCAACTCATGATTCACACTCAGGGAGACAAGTAATAAGAACCAAGAAAAGCTGGAAATAAGCATTTTAGTTAGGGGAAAAGTTACCCTGCTAACCGGGCCTATGGTGTAACCTGAGAGATTTTCTGTTTAGAAGATTGAGAGGTCATTATCAAGTAGGCCAAAGTGAAAACTTTCCCTTGTCTTCATCAACGCCAATGGATAATCTCACATAAGAGTACCATTAACTTCACTGGTATTAGTAAAAGCAAAGAGGGGAAAAAAAAAAAAAACAACAGACCATTTATAAATCTGGTATGGTTTTACTTAGCCTGGTGCTTACCACATCTTAAATCATCCTTCCAACTTCCATGCTTTTCTTTTTAATTTAAAAGCCACTATTGAGTCCCTGCAAAATGGTTTATTGTTGTATCCAAGGGCTGTGTCTTCTATTTGTAATCTTTCCTGCCATATCTACTGTTGGTTCTAATAGACTAAAAACTCCCCACGTGTGGGGACCATGTTCATTCAGAGAGTCACAGAATTTGCAAGTTGCAAAGCACCTCAGCAGTCATTTAGTCTAACCCTTTCATTTTTCCTTGTCTCTCCCCTAGCATCTAGCAGGGTACATTACAAACAGTAAGTGCAATGTAAGTTATTGAAAGACTGAACAGAGTCTTTGCCCTTCCTTTGACAGAGTGAGGCCTCCATTACCCTATCTGTCATGTGTGGGATGGTTCCTCCAGATTTAATGCATGGGGTGGGAGAGGTAAGATCCTATCTCCCAGTAAGAACACAATAAATAAGCAATAGGCCAAAGCTGTGGGTAGCTCTGGCAGGTGTATGGAATCATAGGGGAGTGTTTTTCTAATTTGTTATTAGGGTAGAATGCAGAAAGGTCACCAGAAGGTATTCTCAAATGGAGTTGGGCCTTAAGTTACTCCAGTTTAGAAAAAGTGAACAGGAAAAAGTCAACTACCTCAGTTAGCTATTTTAGAAGACATGTTCCAGTAGAGAAAGGAATTAACGTCAATGAAGTTGCTCACATCCATCCATACACACATATTTTTTTCCATGAGTGTTGAGAGCTCCCACTGGGAAGCTTCTTTAATTAACATTAATTCTTTCCACACTAGAACATGCTTTGTGAAATAACTAGTTGAGCTAATTAACTTTTACTTAGTAGCTCCATTTTCAAACTGGGGTTACTTAAGTCCTATTGATTCTACGGGAGAGGTAGATCTTTCTGAAGGAACCTTGGTGCCTTCTAGACTGCTCTGGGCATTCTGCTCATTACAGAAATATCATAGTAGGATGCGAATCCATTGAGGCCAGGTACTGCTTTTGTCTTTTTTTAAATCCTTAGTCCTTAGCACAGTGCCTGACACATGATAAGTGCTTAATAAACTCTTGTTGATGATTGACTGATTTATCCTGGGCAAAATCACCTCTCTGGGACACAGTTTCCTCATATGTAAACAGAATGGGTCAGATAGATGATCTTGAATTCCCCTCCCGGCCCTGAATCCCATGACACTGTATTCATTCTTGCTGCTATGCTTGTACTCACTTTTTTCTTACCTCTGCAGTGCTCTTCCTCACTATTAAATTTCTATCAGCTCAAATTATTGTCTCATTCAGGAAGGCCTGTTCAACTCTTCTAGCTTATATCAGTCTATTCCTTCTTCAAACTCTCTGCCTCCTACAATTTAGCATTTGATCTCACATTGTTTCGCACTGTTTGCTAGTTGTTTCATGTATGTACATATATATGCATATACATACATGTACATATATATGTACACACATATGTATATTCTATTTTAGTTTTTCTTGGAGGATTGCTCACATCAGTGAGACCTTAAATGGTTTGTCCAGGATCATACAGCCATTATGTGTCAGCAGCAGGACTTACTTGTTCTTAGGTCTTCCTGACTTGAAAGATTGCTCTTGCTGTACCGAACCATTCTGGCAACTCTTGGAGGTGCTAAGTTGCGGAACAGTTGTTGACATGCATTGGCGGTAAGGATAGTGATTCAGTTTGGACTCAGACCCTCCAATTCCAATTCCAGAGCTCTTGCCATGGAGCTATGTCTTCTTCCTTATATGAGGATTATCATGAGGACGCCGATTTAACAAAATCAAAATGCTTGTACCATGGTGGAGTGAATTGGTTTGATCAAGTTGGCAAGGACTGTGGAGAATTTCATTTAAGGTCAGACGTCTAATAGACAGAGATTCTAGGCAGAACTAGGACTAGAACTAGGAGCTGGCAAAGTAGATAGCAGTCTAGAGTACTGTAACACCCTTTTTTTTTTTTGAAGAGTATTTTCTTAAAAAAAATTCACATTTGCAATGCCAAGAAATTCCATTCACCATCGTACCTAAGCATTCATCTGGTAAGTCAAGCTGTGTTGTACCTTGGCAAAGCCTCCACTGAACAGCCACACCTAGGGGGTGCAGATTTCATAATTTGCTCTGGACCCACATATGCCTCGTCTAGGACCTCCTTCTAGGCTTAGTGAGCCCCTGTAGCTTCAGCAGCATACATAACTTAAGGTGAAGTTAGTCTAAATCAAATAAGTAAATAAATAACTGGGGGTGTGCACAATCGGATCTGGGATTTATTAAAAGACTAGTAGAAGACACACACATGGCTCTCAGGGTTCATTTATTTTTGCAATTTATAAAAATGCTCCCATTGCAGTAGCTTATGAGCACAAGAAAACCACAAAACTATAACAAGAAACCCGACTCACAGTCTGTGTCTGCCTAGCAGGACTCTCCCTACTAGTCGTGTGCACAAGACAGACCAAAACCGTGTGCTTTGCATTGTGTCTTGAAATCTAGAACCAGCTTGTGAAGGCTCGGCATCTTTAAAAAAAATGACAAAGTAGGATCTCTTTCTGGAAATCATTCCGATTCTTGTTTCGTACTCAAATTTGGGGATTGTTGCTTTCAACTACACCTTGGTGAAGGAAAAGAAAATTACATTGCAAAGTAATCAGGTCCAAATCTTAAGAAGTGAATGTAATGTGTATGGCTGTCAATTGGCAGCCAGAGCAGACTGCAGAGCTCAGCCTCTCCTGGCCAATGCCATTAAGCCAGTGGGCAGCTGTGGTCTGTCAAACCAGACTTCTGGGTATGTTTTCAGTTTTGAAGGGCAGCCTCTGACAGAGGGCTAAAAAAAAAAAGGCTCACACACTTTTCCATGAGACCATAAGACCTTTCCTAAGCGTAATGGGCCAAATTTACAAGAAAAAGAACCCCTAGTACTATAGAATTTAGAGCTGGATGGAACCTTAGAGATAATCTAGTCCAAGGGGTTCTTGTGTCATGGACAACTTTGGCAGTCTGGTGAAGACCATGGATCCCTTCTCAGAAAAATAGCTGGTTGTCTCAATTTGTTGTTTTTGTTGTTTGTCCTTATAATTTAAGGAAATTTATATAACTTAAGGAAATGCTACATTTCAGTTAGAGGCTAGTAAAAATAAATATAGAATTTTTTTTTTCTCATCTGGGGTCACAGCCCCCCTGAAATCTATCCCATGGGTCTATTTACTGCAGGCTAAAGAATCCCTAATCTGGTGTAGCCCACTCAGTTCACAGATGAAGAAAGAAGGCACAAAGGCTACTTGTTCAAGGTCACCTAGATAGTAAATAACAGAACCAGAATCTGAACCCAGGTCTTTCAGCAACCATACTCTGTGCTCTTTCCATACCACCTTGACAGGTACTTTATAAAGCTCTTTTTATTCCTTTATTGGTATTGCTTAGCCAGTTTAGATGTCTACATTGCAAATAACTTCTGGATGCCATGCCAAATTCATAGTAAGTTATATATGCTTTTGTAGATATCCCCCAAACTCATAAAACACACACACACACACACACACACACACACACACACACGAACACAACCACACAACCACAGTCATACTTTCTCCCCAATCACTTTTCTCTTCCCAACCTGCCTGGGACCTGCAGCTGTTTGGGGTGGTTCCCTGAGGTGCCAGCCACACTAGAAGGAGCAGCTGTGGTTAGAGAGAGTCTGGTCTGGATGTGCTGCCAAGAGTGGGTTCGAAGGGCCAGGGTGAGCAGTCCTGGAGCAGGGCTATGGAATGTGGGTGGAGCCAGAGGAGCCCAGAGTCCAGATTACTCTGGGAACTAGGTGGGCAGAGGGGGCAGGGTGGGGAACTAAAGGCAGCTGTGCCCTGCTGATGAGCATAGGGTGAGGTGCTGTTGCCATGATCACAAGTGGCAGCTGGGGTGGTCTGGAGAAAATAATGGGGTCATCTCAGGAGCATGCCTTGGGCATTGCTTGAATTCTAGGCTTAATTTTATTTAAGGCTTGACTGTCTAGTTTCCAGCCATAGGGATTTTTGTTAAAATGCTCCAGCTCACTTTGAGTTCATAGAGTTGCTGAGCTGGATTGGACCTCAGTGGGAAAGAGTAGAAACTATAGAGTCAGAAGACCTGGAGTCAAGTCTTGGTTTTCCTACTTATGATCTGTGTCCTTAGACAAGTCATCGCTTCTCTCTGGGCCTCAATTTTCTCATCTGTGAAATTGGGAGAGTGACCCTTAAGGTCTCTTCCAAGCTATAAATCTATGATCTTATGATCCACTGGAAGAGTGAATTCTTTCAACTACATCTTTCTTTTTTGCATTCTGGGGAGGATCAAATGAGGTAAAATATGTAAAAGTTTGCCTAACCACTTCATGTAAATGTAAAATAAATATGAGAGGCTGTCTTCCATAGTGCACAAATTGCTGGCCTTAGACCCAGGAAAAACTACATTTAAATCCTGCCTCTAAGAGACAGAAGCTATGTGGCAATGGCTAAGTTGCTTAATTTCTCAGTGCCACAGGCAACTCTCTAGAAGTAATAGACAAATTGATGATCTGCATTGGTGAAGGGGCTTCCCATAGCTTCACCAATGAAATCACAAGTCTAGACCAAAAAATGGGTATGTGTATAAGTAGGTAGCTAGGTTGAACAGTAAGTCAAGAAGACCTGAGGTCAAATGTGGCCTGTGACACTGATCAGCTGTGAGACTCTGGACAAGTCAGTTATACTTCCATTCACCTCCATTTCCTTTCTGTAAAATAGGAATGATAATGATGATAATAATAATAGTAATAATAACACCTACATCTTAGGGTGGTTGTGAAGATCAAATGGAGTAAGAATTGTAAAGCACTTAACATGGAGTCTGACACAAAGTAAGCACTATCTAAATGTTAGCTATTTTAATTATATAAGCAATTGGGATCATATTGAGCTGGAAGGAAGCTTAGAGATCATAATGTCCCATAGATAGCAAGAGATAGTAAGTAGAAGCCCCAGTATTTGAACACAGATCTTTTGACTTCCAGTCCTCTGCTCTTTTCATTATGCTATAGATGCCTCTTCACTCCAGCATCTGAATTTCTTCTTGTCCTCTCCTCAGATGCAACCCTCACCACCACCTTTTTCTTCTTCTTCTTCTTCTTCTTCTTCTTCTTCTTCTTCTTCTTCTTCTTCTTCTTCTTCTTCTTCTTCTTCTTCTTCTTCTTCTTCTTCTTCTTCTTCTCCTCCTCCTCCTCCTCCTCCTCCTCCTCCTCCTTGTCTTCCCTGCGGCATTGGGCTGTGCTTCTTGGGAGGATCTGGACAATCTAAATTCTGTGTGGGCAATGTTCCATTTTCCCTATATATTGCTTTTTTTGCTTGAGAAGCCATCTATCTGCTTGTGGTTTCTCAAAAAAGTCACTGGGATTTCTGGTTGGCAGTTGTCATTTAATACCTCATGGTTCTTTCTGAGAAAGTGATCTATATGTAAGATTAGAAATGCAATGTTTTATATTTATTCTGGAGAGGGACAGTGTGATAATGGACTAATTGTTGTGATGCATATGATATTCTATTCCCTATTTGTTGAGTTCCTCAGTGTAAAAAAAAAAAAAGAATAAGGCTAGCCCAGTAACTAATGGGAATGTTGCACTCCATTTGTGACATTCCAAACGGTTTATAAAATAAGGACCCTTGAGCTTGGCATTTCCTGGCCATTCTTGACCAGCTGGCTCAGCTCAGCCCTCAACTTTCTCTGGCTGGTCACTGTCATGTGTGAAATGTTCTCCCTTGTCAGGTTGCCATTGTTGATTAAATTCACCTTTCCCTCAATATGATCTCCTTGTTCCCAGGAATAACTTGAATGAATGAACACCATAACAGAATATCAAAGAATCATGGCAACTGTTTGTGAGAAAAAGACTCCCAAAGGTGAAACCAGAATCAACAGCTTGCAAATGGCCAGTGTAGACTACAGAAGCTAGGAATGTGCAGCTGGAAAAACGTATCAGTCTCCAAGCTACAAATACATAATTTATGAATTTGTGAGGCTTTATAAAGCTGTGTGATGGCTGTTACTTACTGGCAGCTGATATCATCTGCTGGTTTTGCGTATATTTCTCTCCATTTCTAAGGCAAACCACAGATGTTCTATCCCCTGTGAATCACACCTGCAGACTTAAAACTAATTTTTTAAAAAACCAAGAAAGGCAGATGTGTTCAAACTGTAACAGCCATGAGATTGGACAGAAAAACTATTCCTTTATTTGCTTAAATACCAGAAAGTGACTCTTTGCATGGTGATACCAATGACGAAATACAAAAGACTACCAAGCCAATTTTCCTTTAAGGAGAGCTTTGTGATTCTTTTTTCAAACAATAATTATTGCTATTTCAGTCTTACCATTTTATTCACCTTAATAAATCCTCAGATGGCATCCCTGACCCTGTTGAATTAAAAAAAAAGAACCCTTTTAAGTCATATTAGAGGGCACTACATTTGCTGATGCAAAAATTTGTTACTCTGATTTGTTACGTTAATTAAGCAATAAGACATGACATGGTGTGAATTATTGTATAATAACTCATGCCTTCAGTGTAGCTAGGCACAAAACTGAAGGCCAAGTGCCACTGTAGCATCTGGGCATGAATTATGCTACAATAATTTAAGCCTAGGAGTCTTCCAATGGGTTAAGAAAAAAAAATTAGAAAGGAATAGACCCAAATAAAGAGGATGCATATCGAAATGGAAAGAGTCTAGGCTTGGGAGTCAGAGGACCTGATTTTGCACGATGGCTCTCAGCCTTACTTCCTGTGTGACCTCAGGCAACTCATTTATATTAGCATCAGCTTCCTGATTTGAAGAGAGGTCTGGAATATATTTGGCAGT